CGAGAAAATTCCAGCTGTTCATGACTATTACTTCCTTCAAAAAGCAGCTGAAGACTTTGGAAGATGTACAAAACAGAATGTCAATAGGTAGCTTAATACTCCACCAAGATCCAAAGTGTGTAGGTTTTATATTTTCAAAAGACCATGTCATAGCCATGCAGATAAGTACATATATAGATAGGAATGTAGCATTCTTGCCTAAAGGACAGCTTTGCCATCATGAGCAACTCGGCTTCCTGGTCAAAACATCAGGCCATCTGAAAAGAACAGCTCTGTGTGAGAGAAACATCCTTGATTGTGGAACAAGGTACAGTTATTAAGGCCTTTTTTTTAAGGCTGATATCCTGAGAATAGATAGTTCAAAGAAATTTAAAAGAGAAAAGTATTTATCAGTACAGAAAAACTAACAACCTATCCAAATAACTGAAGGAAAGGCCTGTGTGTCATTAGAAATGCTGCCTGTAATATGATTTCTTTGGAGAAGGCCTTTGCTCCAATATGACCATTATCCAGCAGCCAAAACATACAAGATTACAAGCATAACCTTCCTGCTCTTATCTAAACTAGGTTTTTCAACCTCCTTTTAGATTTGCAATTGAAACATCTTCTAAGTGACTCTGCAGCCTCCTACATGCTGAATGTAAATCCACCTGCCAGGAGGATGGCTTTTGTATTTGTACCTTTCAGTTGACCCCTGAAAATCAGAGACACTTGGGAGCCCCCAAGGAAAGAAGTGAAAGGTACTGATTTTAAAAGCAGCCCTCGAGGATCAGCTGGAAGTTTGCTGGAGCATCCAAGTAAAATGAGGTAGAAAAGCATCCCAAAAGCAACAGCCAAAGATGAATGAGGTGGGTGGGAACAAATGTAGGGCATTTCCTGGCTCCTACCTGCTCTCATGGTGGGAATCCTGCACCTACACTTCAGGCACATGTTGTACCTGCCATTCACACAAAAGCAAGGTGTGTCCTAAAGACTCCTTACAGCTTCTTTTCTCTGCACTAGAGATGTTATCTATGCCACATGCTGCTCTAATAAATACCTTTGTTTAATGAATAATATGTAGGGGATGATTCTATGATGCAGAAGACTGGTTAGAACAGCTACAAATCCACTGGAGTTTCAAAGTGATTTGTATAACATTTTTCAAGTTCAGCTGTGTCCAGAAAAATGTGACCTCTTAGCCAGGTCCTTGCCAGTGCCCTCTACCCCTCAGGACAGAGGAAAGCATAACCCACCCCAAAATATTGCAAAATGAGAAGAAACATTTTGGGGAGGCCGATTCTCAGTGTTTGAGGTATACAATACCGTGATGGAGGTGTCAATTGCTGTGCAAAGATTGAGGCCCTCAGAGGAGATTTGCAAAGACAGGCAGAGGGGATGGAAAAGCACCTTATCTTTATGGTGAGCTGATAAGTCAGTCCCATGATTTTTCAAAACTTTCAGTAACAAAGAGAACAAAGTGTCTTTTACAATTAAAAATTATTGTCAATTCGGTCAGATTGCTAATTCATTTTATGAAAATCATGAGTTTGTGTGATGGAATTCCAGACTAGACCTAGCTTTTATACAAATCTGCTGACCTTTTCTTTCACAGGGAGTTCCTCAAAGAAAAGCTAGAAGGTGTTCAAATTTAGTCTTCCCTGCACCAAAAACCTGACTTCATGACTTTTTAGATCAGATGATGGCAAGTGTCTAGGAGTCACTTGGACAGAAGAATAATTTAAGAGGTTTATAAACAAATCTCTCCCTGTCCATTATGTCCTAGAAAAGCAGACCATTGCTCTCAACCTGTCTTTTAGGATTTTTTGGTGGGTTACAGCTATGCAAACTCAGCTCTTTAAGGCATTTTCTCTTACATAAGGAGAGCTTGGAATGTGCTCACAGCTTTGCTCAGCAGCTTCTCATTTCCCCACTGTGCTGCAAATTGCTGCTTTGCTGCTGCTTCCTCTTGGTTTACCCCAAGATCCAAATATCCTTTCCCCTTGGCCAGATTCAATTGCTCCCTAAAGGAAGGAATATCCTTGCTTTTTTCAGAGACCTCTTTACCCACCTATTCTCCTCTTACAGGGAGATAATCTACAAAGCAAGATCAAAATGCATACTGTCACACAGAACTGTCACTCTTAGTCAGCAGATGGCAATAATAATTGTTACTCTCTGATCACCATGTAATCCAGTGACATGACTTGACTTTCCACCCTTTGCCTGTGGCAGCTTCCAAGACCAGCATCAGCACCAAGAAACTTACTTTCTAGCCTCATTAATACCCAAAGGTGGCCAGAGGGGTGTGTGCAGAGGGGATCAGCCATTAAGGCTACAGTGCAGGAACAATTGATATGCAACAGATGAAGATAAAAAGAGAGGACATCATCAGATCCTCCCACAAGCTAGACTTAATGCATCTGAAGAGGAATTTGCAGCATCCCAAACTTGGAAAAAGGGCATTTCTAAAGAAAGACTCTTGGTTTGACAGTATTTTAGGGGTGGTGGGTGTTAGATTCAGTGTTGAGACACTGAATTTGTCAAAAGATTGGGAAGATGCTTCAGCAAAAAAGCCCCAACAAATATCTGTTGGGAACAGATTTCTTTTTTAGATCTGATGGAAGATATCAAAGAAGTCAACTTTAAAATGGTATCACAATATCTGCTGACAGTAAATGTTCTGGGAGTGTGCTATAAAACTAAAACTAGACTTACTCTATTAGATCTTACTTTCTGTCACAGTGGGCATCAGATAGGGCTGCAGAATCACACCAGCACAATCCACATTTTTTCAGAAGGTTGCATAAATGTATGGTCAGTCATTGTGTGTGTGTGTCTGTGTGTGTGTGCGTGTGTGTGTGTGTGCTATGCATGCCAAAATTATTGTCAAAAAAGCCTGATGACTGAAGAGGTAAAGAACAGTCTCTTCCTTGTTCTGCTAGAAGTTCAGGATTTCAGTACTTCAGAGCACATTTTTTTCCAGAAAGCTCCTTTATTTAACTTGTGCTGTACTTGTGCGTGAGAAAATAGTTGCCACACAAGCATCCATATCTCAATTATACTATAGAGATCTCTGGAGCACTACCATGACAACTGCAACGTTGGTAGAAGCTGTTCCACTTGCACAAGCACTGTGTTGTCTCATGACCAGAGTAGTCAGGAATTGTCTCATCTGTTGTCCTCAGGAAAAAAACATGTCCATGAAAAGATCATTCTGCCCAGGGGAAAAGGTTCTTGCTCAGTCCCAGCAGTGCAATTTCTGCAAGGTGCCCTTGAAGGAGCAGGAAGACACCAGAACCCCTCAATGCCCCTCCAATAATCAAGAGTCTTTCCACACTGAGGAGGCCCTTTCTGCAGTCCATGGAAAGAGTGTGATACAACCATGTGTAAGACAGGCAAGGTCAGCAACATTTGAAGAGAAGCACCTGAAGCAGCCAGGCAAAATCTGCCCAGTTCTATGGGATGGAGTTTGATGACAAACAGACAATGAAGGACAAAGCCTATGGATTCTTGCAGGAAAAGTCTTTATAACACAGTACTACCTTCACAAGCTAGCATGTCTCAAAATTTATTTCTCCTGCACAGGCACATTATTAATGCAGGCAATAAACTCCTGGGACTACCAAAGTACTGTCACCTTCTGTCTGTGCTCATTTAACCCACTGTGCCTCCTGTGGCTCTGCAGCTTTCCAGTAGGAGGGCTTGTGGTTTTATTTTTAAAGATGCAGTTAACTAACTGTCTATCCAGCTAGTTAGGCCCAGAGCAAGAAACCCTATAACTAAATGAAGACCATTCATTTCAGGAAGTGTACACACCCAAAATTGGCTGAAACCAGGGGCTTCTGTCAGTTCCACCCATCTTGCTAGCATTTTTACCCAAAACCACTAAATTAATAAAGAAAGTATCTGCAAAAAGCCTCAGCTGCACACAACTTCACTGCAGAAAATTATTCCTCACTCAACAAGAAAAGGAAAGTGAGTAAAATAATGCAAGTGATTTATATCATTCCATTTCAACAGCTTTTCAAAGGGCTGTTTGGGCATGCTACAATTATTCATTTTTTAACTGTATCTCACAACCATTACAGATCCGTGAACTGTCTGGCTGAGTGTGCTGGTTTTGCATTAATTGATATTTAGTAAGAAGGAAGAAACCACCCACAGAAATTATTTTTCTGAGAGAAGCTGCTGAGAGCTTCCTCTTTGCCTGGAAAAACCCAATACATGTCTGGTTCTGAGAACAGGCAACTGATTGAACCATTTAGAAGTTGGATCCGCCTCTGTGAGATCTACATTTTAAAAACAGACAAGCCCAGGAAAGCTCTCTCTTGGCTTCTGGCCTTGAACAGGCAACTGGGGTAACTGATTTAAAATCAAAGGTTTTGTCTACATTGTCAGTGGGGAAAGAAAAGTGGTCAGGCAGGGGGAGGAAAATGGTTCTAAAGGTTTTATTCTGATGCTTCTTATTCTTTTAGTTCTGTTAATAAGGTTTTCTTTATACCCTTTAGGTTCTGAGCCTGTTTTGCCCTTATCCAAATCCATATCTCACAGCAAGAAGTGAGTAAGTGCACTGGTGATTTTAGCCAGTGCTAAACCCACCCCATATGGTACATTGGCTGGGAAACTCAAATTGGTGAACCTAAACCACTACACTAAGGTACTTCTCGCCCCTGATATCCTCCCCAGCCCTACAGAGACCCTTCACAAAATCTCATTACAATGTGTGTAATTCTCATAATAAAAGAAATTGCTTATCCACAGTGGCATTACAGCTGGAAAAATGAGCTGGGGGAATCCTGCGGGCAGAAGCGCTGACTCAGCTCTCACTACATCCAAATTCAGCATTTTGTAGCAGGTGGCCACAAAACATGGAGACACAAGGTGAAGTTTGTATTCTCAGAACTTCCTCAACCTACCAAACTGTGAGCATCAAGGTATCAGTATTAGCTGCTACAACAGGGATAACACTGGGGAAGAACAAAACACTTGAAGTAAGAAGAAAATGGCCTTGAAAAACCTTTCTCTTGCCATATATTCATTAATTCACACAGCTACAATTAAGCAGACCTATGGGCAAGCATGAGGACTCAGACAATTTGATTGTCTGTGACACCAACACTGGAGAACATACCTTTTGAACCCATTTTCACTTCTGAAACAGTGTTAAATAACCCCACTGTAAACAAAAGTTCTCTCTTCCTGAACTACTTGGACAGTAGATCACAACCTGTGTTATGTGAAGGTTAGCAAATGTTTAATTTTCCTCCACACAGCAGTCTTGCATATCACTCACTGGTGTTTCTGCTTCTTGATCTGGACTTTGGGTAAGCATCCTCTAATGAGCCCCTCTGCTAATGCTGTGCAGTTGTCAGGCATACATGAAAGAACTGATCAAAATCAGATTTCTTCTTGAGCTTTAACTGATGTTTTCCTTAATTAGAGCATTCTTTTGTTTTTTAATTCTTTTTTCCAAACGTCAAAGCTGGTTGCTTCAAAGGATCATTTCAGTCACCCCTGCAAGAAAAGAGAAAATTGATTTGAAAGATTAAAGGGAGCATGAGAGAGGGAGTGCAGACAGACAACACAGAACAAAATATTTACGAATGCCTGATCCTACCATAGTGACTTGCAGAAGAAATGGAGAGAACAAATAAGATTTTTGCATCTAAGACATAATCATGACAATATATCAGAATAGTAAATGCAACTTTTGTGACATTCATGAGAGATTTTTTGTGAAGTTCCTCTACTCAAATAAGGCAGATCCTGGCAGTTCCCGACTCCAGGTATCATATTCCTGATACTCATTCCAGCTCAGAAGAGCTTCAGAAAAGCCAATTTTAATTCTTCATTCTCAGATCTTTTCTTCTTTGTCACAGAAATTTAACTTAAGCAGGATAGGCCTTAAATCACAATACCTCATTTTCCAAATACACACCACATAATGTATTAAAACTTTAGGATAGAAATCTATTGTTTGACATATTTCTAATATTTTCATGCTCTGTAGTTGCTCCAGTGGATTTCTGTTGTAGTTCATATTGACAGAGAAATGTGTTTATGTAGAAGAATTCAGAATAATGAAGTCCAGCTGCATTATTGTACACATATAAAATATATTAATCTTTCTTCAACCTAGGCTACAGTGAATATCCGTGTTAACAGCCAAAGCTGTGGACCTGATGTTTCAAACAGTTTATAAATACAAACTCACTGACTTCAGTGGGACTCTGCATTGAAATGAGAGTGTCTTTACACAACACTGCACCATTCCATACCGCTGTATCCAGAAGGGAAAATTCACACCAGCTTCCTCAAGCATTCAGCATAAGCTGCTTCCCTATTTGGAGCAATGCTTATGTTGCCTATGTAGCTAGTGAGTAACAGAGGCTGCATTTCCTGGTTGGGAAGGGATGACCCAAAAAACTGACTTTTCATGCCAAAAGCAGACAAAACTTTCCTAAAAACATCCAGCTAAAGTGCTGTGAAGGACCAGGAAATTTTAAGGCACTAAATAGATCCAGACAGTTCCTCGTTCTTGTAGGAAAAACCTATCCACTTCTAAAAATCTTCTTAGAAAAACATACCTGCATTGTATGGCATATTGTATGGTATATTTCTAGTCTAAGTCTGGTATTTTCCAAATACACAGACCACAGGAAGAGACAAATTCAATGGTAAAAATTAAAAGACTCAAAGGTCATGGTTTCTCAATTTTCCCCTTTCCCATTTACAAGCCAGCAATTTATCTGCTCGTGACCACATTTCAAAGAGGCCAAATCAGGTATAAGAATGAAATGTGTGACTTGAGGACTGGAAAGTCTGTCCTCATTCCGTCACAAAAGATAAGCACTTGAGCAGACCTGAGAGTGATCCAACAATCTACAACAGCGGAAACCTGTGATAATAAATGCATAATTAACCTAGTAGCAAATAGTTCTACAAAATGCATTGATTGGAAGTTGAAAAAATTCATAGCTAGATGAAAGACATCTCTTTTTTTGAGGTATCACACCATTTAAATGGTGACCAATGAGGAACCTACTACACAAGCATCACTTCCCAGGTCCAGCACTGCAGTGACCTAAACACACTCCAACCCCAGACACACAACTGTTACATTTGGCTGAGTTACCTTTTTGGATGCATTATAGGTGTAAACATGTGTGTGCAGTCACACAGGTACGTACCCAAAAATGCCATGTGAACCTTGCAAGACTACTGCTTTACTGGCTGTAGCTAAGGAATACATGTAAAGTACACTACACAAAGTAATAAACTCCATAACCATCTGTGCCTCATTTCCTTGCTCTCTCCTGTTCTTTAGTTGGGACCCAGGATCTCCTATTCAAACATTTTCTTTTGACCTTTTGTTCTTTTTCACCTGAGTATTCAGGTCCTCCAGCAAGATCAGTGGCAAAAGTCTCAACCCTTGGAATTTCTATTTTGTTCAGTTTATTGTCTATTGACACAAGCTTCTGATCATTAATTGACGCCAATAATTTGAGGGGAAAGTGTACTAGAGACCTTTTCATCTTTCTAAGGGTGGGCATTGTAGCAATCTGAACATAAATCCATTACACATTCCACACCTTGCTCCTGTCAACTGGTTCACTTAATGTTATAATACCTGGTTCACTTAATGTTATAATACTTGCTGCAGACTTTGAACCTCGGCCTTTGTCTTGGTTTGAAAAGACAGGTGTCTGCTAAGGAAGGCAGAAACCTCCCTTGAAATGGAAAAATGTAAACTCTCCCTCCCCTCTGAATTGTTATAATCTTGAAATCAAGGGGCTCTCAGGCAAAGATATGGGAATAGGAATAACAGTTCTTTACTAAGGAAATTAAAATAAAAATGTCATACAAAAAAAAAACAAAACACTGATAGAGTCAGAATACAGCCTGACACCGTGATGGTCAGGGTGTTGGTAGCAGTCTGATTAAATGGTGGCTGCAGCCCTGCTGGAGTGACAGATGTGGTTCTGTTGAAACATTGATCCTGTAGAAGGGTGTAGTTTTCCTCTGAAAGTCCAGTGCTGGTGTAGATGGGTCCAGCCTTCCTCTGGGAAACCAATGGAGAAAGGCTGCTGTGGTGTTCCAAGTCTCAGATTATATCCAGGTAGGAATGCTTGGCTCCTCCCCCTGGGTGGAGCATCTCCCAATGGGATGATGTAATTTTATCAGTCATGCAGTGAGACTCAATGGCCCATTAACAGAAGATATCCCCCAGTTATGAGGGATGGGTCAAGAAAGAGATAAAGAACACTGCCCCAGCTGGTTTTCACAGATGGTAATAGAATACATACTTTTGGTTACATGTTGAATTGCAACCCAAGACAGTCCTGTAAAACACATAAGCAAGAACATCATACCAATACAGACTACTCATTAAACCTTAGCATAAAAAATACAAACTTTGTTCCAAGATTTGTGTAACTGCAGTGTCGTTCCGATTGGGAACGGCTACAAAGAACGACACGAACTCTCAAGGGAGTTTCAACACGAGAATTCTCTGGTTTATTGCTTCAGGCCTGTTTTATAGACGTGGAAAGTACAGAAAGGAAACTCTTATTGGTTAGCAAAGTGCTACATCACCATCATTGGTCAGGGGCACAACACCCCCCTGACCCTCTCCTGCAAGGGAAAACAAGAGGACAGATAAACAGCACCTGGCAGTTGTTTTCTGTCTCTAAGGATTGTTTTGAAATCCTCCTTTGAAATTCCCAGGCTAGTTTCTCAGGCAGGACTGAGAGGCCATGGGCCTGCAGTTTCTGCAGCTCCCTGCAGCCTGTTCCAAAGCTAGCATCCATACTGCAAGAATTTCTAATATGTCTGTAAGCCCAACAGGGCTATATCCAGTGCCCAAAGGGATGGTAAACACTGTTCATTTGATAAGCATAAGCCTTTCCTCTTTTGGGGAGTAAAATGATGTACAGAGGGGTGCAGCTGTCTTGGAGTTTCCTCCATGTACTATAGCATAAACTGAGATCTCATCTTGTCCCATCACTTGCAACTCCTTAACCCTCACCTCAAATTCTGCAGGGTTTTTTCTCTTACTTCATCAAACCCTCTCCCTCTTCAGGAATCTACACAAGTCCTTACAAAACTACTAGAAATGCAAAATATTTGCTTGCATTTATAATTCCAAGGAAAAAAGAAACTGAGGAGAGCAGCTATGGTGTTCTATTTAATTTCTTTTCAGGCAATTCTGGGCACAAATGAAGACAGATTCCTGATTGGGATTCCTAACATATGTCTAATCTTTACATCTCTTTGGCCTCAGAAAGATTTGTGTAGAATGTACAGGATAGTTTGCTAGTTTTTTTCCTTCTGCTTGTCTGAGGATATGATGTGCTCATCACAAATAAAAAAAAAAAAAAATAAGTGGGAGAAGCTGCTTAGATTATTGAAGTATTAGCTATGGATGTGAAAAAAAAGAGGCCTTCTGATCCATTCTCTTTCAGCCAAAAAAAAAGGCTACAAGACCTTAAACCATCTGCAGCCAGGGTGGAAATTCTAATGATATCACAATGAAATAATCATTGGCTCCATATTTACTTGCTTCTCTCTCTCTTAAAGAAGGAGACAAGTAAACAGTAAGAGGCTTCAGAAATAATGTTTAACAGAAATAAATAAATACATAAATAAATCTTCATGCTTGAGAACTCAAACGCAACAGAAGAGAAACCAATTAAAGTACTTGTCCTAAGCCTCCTCCACACCAAAGAAGGCAGAAACACTCCTGTATTTCTTTACTTGGCATGCCCATATGGCAAGTGACAATCCTACATTTTTGCCACACTTACTAGTTCTTTACATGCACCAGGTTTTGCTTTTCGCTCTTCTCACAGACATTCTCTGAGGCAGCCCTCTTTCAGACAGATTTGCAGATGAAAGAAACAGGATATATAATAAGAGACCCACATCACTTCATGCAGGGGTCCTCCAAACTCTCCTAAATCAATGCATTCTTCATCTAAGATGTTTATCATTAGATCATGAAAAAAAAACCAAACAAAAAAAACTGAGGAAAGCAAAGAATAAATATGATCATGAATGGGAATACTGATACTGATCTGCTTGCAGAGTTGAACTGTTCATGCCTTGGGATGCAGACATGACCTGAAGACATGCCTCCTTATCTGAACAGAGGCAAGTGTGAGATAAATGAAATCTAGGTAGTAATAAAAATACTGGCTGATACAAAACCTTCAAAAATTCCAAAAGAAAGGATTGCTTTTTAAAAAATGAAGAAAGTCTTATGTTTCCTGTTTGAAATTAATATTATAAAAGATACATGTTTTGTACAATGAGCTCTCCAAAAGAAATGGCATACACTTTACACAATCTTTCCTTATGTTGTCTACTTGTATCTTTGACTTGAACTTGCATTCTGGAAAATTTAATTACAAGTAAGTAAATAATTACATTGGTCACTTGTTATTAATTCTTTTTACATATTCTAGTCTCCTATTCAAGGATTTAGGAGCAACTCACCAGAACAACTGCCTTTA